TGGAGGATATGACACAAAATCAACAGACCTTTCACTCTTTGAAACAAAATGTGAATGAGCGGGTAAACGTTTTATCTTTGCGTTTTCTATTCTTTTCATTTTGTATTGTTGAGGTCATTCACCTATAACCCCATCGGGCAGACAGACAGACAAGCTCACAGATGGATCAATAACGCATCAAATCACAGATGGTCCTGCTGGTGCATCTGCAGTTTACTGAAAGCAGAAAAACAAATGATATGAAAATAAACAGATGCACAGGCATAAAATATAAACATTACGAATGTGTTCAAAACTGAAAGTATTGGATGATTTGTAAGGGTACTAACAGTGACATGCGTAGTTCAGTGTTTGGCTAGTTAACAAGTTAGTGCAGAAGCATCAATTCAAACCAGCTAAGACACATTTAACAACTTACACATGCTAAAACAATGACAAAACGCGGCGAGGCACACTGACTGGGTTTCATTATGTCAGAATAGAAAAATATTTTCAATTAATTTGGCAATCTGCCACAAAACAAAAAATGAAGGGACTATTATCTAATCAGGGACTTTAACAAATTTGCTAACAATTGAAATTGAAATGAACATTTCAGCATCACTAGGCAGAGAGATTTAGTCAAACATCATATGTCATCGTTTGTCCTCTCATTGAGGACAGGGTGAAGACTCAGAGGATGACGTGAGGTGACATCTAGTGGACAATCTGAACACAACAACATCCTTACTTCAGTAGCTCTGGTTTTACGTTATAGTTATTTTTCACTCCTCAGTTCTATAAATGATCACATTTGATTTGTAGCAACAAAAAAAGCTTCGTACAGCATTGGAGTACTGACTTCTTTGGTGGTCATAATTTTGGGTGGATATTTTTAACATTTTGTAGCACTCTCTTACTTTCTCAAATTAAAGATAACTGCCCTCACAAAACTCTGCCACATGATATATTCAGTAAATCTTTGACTCACTGAAAGTATTGACAAAAATATATGCTTTCACAGCATTCAAACAGGATTTTAAGTGTGGGTTTCATAATTCCATTTACCCAGTTGCTGAGCCATTTATCTGTTGCTGTTACTCTCCTCAGGTTCTTCAGAAACCGTTACACAGAGAAACTCTAATGAACATCGATCAGATAATACAGATTTCACTTAATCTTTAGCTCACATTTATTCAACTCAAGATAGTATCAAATATAGGGGTCACTTACTTTTTTTTAAAACACCTGATTAACAAGTAAAAGATTGTTGTGGTATTTCTGTTTTTGTATGCATTGATTATAAAATAACACAGCTATGTTTAAATAAATTGTATCACTATAGTTGGGTTTTGTGATTATATGTCAATGAATTTCAATGGGATGACATGTGAGACTTGTACATTGTTCTCCTTTAGCTCCACTGTAGTATGTCAGGCAACAGTTCCAAAATCAATTGAAATACAGAGCTCCTGAAAAATATCAATTTCCAGTCGTTCATTCTGCAGAAGAACAGTGTTGCTTCAGTTCTCTTCTTGGTCAATTTTTCTTTTATACTATAGTTACTGAAGGACCTTAAACATTTTTTAAAAATCCTGCAGGCCGTGAACAAGTGCCTGTGCATTTACGATAATTTAGTGTGAATGAATTATCATAATTTTACCCTCTTGAAAACATCAACAGCTTAATGCAACATTGTGGTTTGTATGCAGAGCTTTGAATGCTAGGATAAATCAACGTGAAATGCTGCAGAAAAAAATAGAAAGGAGAAAAAATTTAAGTTGTGCAACTTGTGCAAAGACTGATTTAACATGACGTGTGGAAATCATGTCTGCCGAAGACTGACGAAAATGTAGAAGCTGAATATAATTTCTGAGGTGGCTGGAAAGTCAGAGAAAGAAAAACACTTGGGACCTCTGGTGGCTGGAAAATATTTAACCATAGAAAAGACCAATAAACAGGGAGTAGACTACAATGTAAAAACAGTGAGTCAAAAAACAAACTTCAAGGCGTATAGTTGTTAATGTTGTAGTTAGTTTTAAATGTATTCATAATTTTTTTAGATTAAATAAAATGTACCTTTCACCTGCGTATCTCATATTCCTGTATTCGTATTATCATTTTGGTTAAAAGATTCTCGATTTTCCATCCCCGAATGATTGATTTGCTTCTTCTTAATTGGGTCATTAATCCCTTTTTATAACCAGTCACCATCCGAATTCACACATTTTGTCTGGGATACACTCAGAAGTACCTTTTCCTTAGTATTTTTTTAAAAATAAACTTCGTCTCGGTTTTGCCTCTTTTAATGTTTTTTTTCAAAATTTAGTCAGTAACCTCTCTTTATAACAGCTATTTATGTGATCCCCTATCATAAATGTTAGTCAGACTACACCTCATTGCCCAATGACATTTTGTATGGGAGTTGTGATATTTCATGTCTATGATCACTTGGCATTTAATTTTGTTTTCAGTGTCCTTTTTGTGAGCTATATTAATGAGGTGTCCTATATTAGTTATAATAACGTGTCTGACCAGAGGTGACCTGAATCCTTTAGTTGCTGGACATGAAACCAAAGTGTGTCTATAAAGACATGTAGCCCAGACTTTGAATGGGATAAGCTGTGAAGTCCTATAATCTCTTCGCAAAGACCTCAGTCCACGGAAGCCATTCTGCTTAACGGCAGATCCACGCATGATGGATGCCTGAAAGACTGAGCGAGGAAATAAAATTAAAATCCCTGTTAAATGGACCGCCTTCCTCGGGGAAAGCTACGAGACAGCGAGAGGTCTTCCCATGTGATGTGACTGAGGCCTGACGGACTGTGCCTGTCTGTTATGGCTCCTCCTGCTACAGTACAACGGGACTAGACGTAACATCAGTGCAGGGGAACGGGAGTAACACAGCAATACGTTTCTCTTGAGCCACGGTGAACGATGGCAAACCCTGCAATGCTTAAGAAAAAGACATAGACGGCGGGTTTTGCTTCGCCTCTTCTGCTGTGAAGGCTTCGACTTTCCTTTCAGATTACCAACACCCCAAATGAACTCCGTCAGAGCAAGTAACGTTAGCAGAAGACCTAGGCGAGTATCGAGGCCGCGCCCGGTGCAGCCGGAGAGGAACCACCAGGAAAGAGGTAACGTTTTCAACGCTGGCGTGAGCCTAATGGAGCCGTTCGACCAACAGCTGAACGTTGTGCTAATCTGTGTGAGTTTTGTGGTGGCATTTGCTAGTGCTGTTCGGAGGAAACTGTCGCACGCACAGTTGGGTAACGTTAATTGTTGTGGCAAGACACTCCGGAGCTAACGGCGCTCCCCCTAGGTTCCACTGCGGCGAGGAAATACCGAGGCTTTTGTGTCTCTGCTTAGCATTTAGGCCGCGCTTTGTTTTGCTTCATTTTATGCACGAGTCGGCCTTTCTATTGCATGTATAACCTCTTGCCGGTCACGTATTTGTTCATTTGGAGGGTTAAATTTAAACGTTCCGCCGATGACTGACGATAAACAGTTGTTTCCTGGCTTCATGGGTGACAAACGCAAGGGAGGATACATTAAGCGGTTTTTCCAGTGTCGTAGCATGCTAACTTAACATAGCCCGTGCTAGATCGTTGTTATTATTAGCACGTCTGGCTAAGGATCTGCGTTCAGGGGTTAACCCCAAAACCAAGAAAATAAAAACAAAGATACAAAAAAAGCCTGCTCACTCATGATCAGCCCTTGTTATTCTAAAACGTCAATGCAAAGTATGTTCTTTATAAGTAATATTTTTTTCCCAAAAAAGTGTCCATAGTAACTGTGTTTGTTTTGTTTTAGATTCTTTTCCCCAGTGCTGCTGTGACATCAGACGGTGTGATGTTAGCGGATGTTGACTGCAGTTTTAGTAATACGAAAAGGACGCTCCGAAATGGCCACAAACCCATATTATAAACCTTACCCGTGTGATGGTCCCTGTTCACCAAGCTTCATGGGCAGTTTACAAATGTAATTCATTGTAAACAGTTGGATGAACAGACGTTTCATTTGCATCATCAGTTGAACGTCAATCAGCTGAAATGGTTAACTCTCAAATACTTGTTGCCACTTTTAAAAATGTGACATGGTGACTCTGAATAGAGTGACTCAACAATGATTGTCCTGCTCAGCCCAATAATATTTGATCAGATTTTTGAAGATGCTGTCTTTTTCTTTGTGTGTGTCCTAAGATCAGCGTATTAATTGTTCTAGGAGTATAGTATTGTAGCTCTGGCATAAAGGCAATAAAAAAGGAATTAGCCAAGATGTGGTCAGTGTATGATACACAACCACCTCTTCCATTCTTCTTCCATTCGAAGGAAAATGTTTGTTAAATAAGAAAAAAAACAACACATTCTTCCATGGTACACCTACAGAGAGAGAATGACTTTAACTAGCCCCTGTCCTGTACTGGGCTTTGTGTAATGGTTACCGGTGTAGTGACAGCGAAGAGTCATCCAACTGGAGCAACTACCTGAATAGCAAGACAGTGTTTGCATTAGGGATAGCAATCAACACATGATGGTGAAAGAGTTTCTAGACATATGGTTTGGCTGTGGATTGATTCTGTGTATTTAGTTGTTTTTCAAATTGATTGAATCCCCTATTGATGGGATTTGCAATCAGCTTGTTCTTTGCAGAGGAGCCAAAGAGCTGAAAAATACTTTTTATCTGGGCTTTTTCTTTTCGTCCTGTGCCTTGTCATTGGTGCTGTAAGACAATTATATTAGAATATCTAAGAATCAGTATATTATCACTCTAATTGAAAGATTCCAATTCTACAGATCAGTGATCTGACAGTGTATGTTTGAGTTGATATGATTATAAATTAAATTAACATATTGAGTAAAAAATTATGAATACAATCTAATTCTTCATGCTTTTCAGTGTTTTTAATTGATATTTGGAGTGTGGTTTATGTATTTGTGACAACACAACAATACAGGCCTAATTTTGATCTGTATTCATTTATTATGTTGTGATCTTTTACCCTTCTTCAACTATTTGTAGATGAGGACGTTCCTGCAGATATGGTCGCAGAAGAATCCGGTCCAGGAGCTCAGAATAGTCCCTACCAACTTAGAAGAAAGTCTCTACCCAAGAGAACAGTGTGTCCGACAAAGACAAACATGGAGGTACGTTTATCAGGCATCCTTCAAACATGGTGGAAGAAATGGCTTAACATACATATGTTTGTTTGTTTTAGAAAACGGGCAGTGATGATTTTCAAAAAACTCCTTTCTTTACACCCGTTTATATTTATTTAATTGGTTTTCACAGGGTGCCTCCACTTCAACAACAGAAAACTTTGGACATCGACCTAAGCGTCCCAGAGTTTCTGGAAAGTGTCAAGATCTACCTGGTAATTGTGTATTGTCCATAAAAGTATATTTATCATGAGGTTCCACATCATTAGTGAGGTGTAGTTACTTTTATGGTGGTTATTGCGCGTGTTGTCACACTGAAACTGTCAAAGTGAAGTCCCATTTCTGTTTACTCAGAGGTGGTTAGCTTAGATTCTTATGAAAATACCTGCCTGGCTTATATCAAGAAAGTAACATGTAATCTTCTGAAAAGTCTTTATTATGCAAGTTTGTGCTGCACGTCACCCCAAAGATATACACGCAAATGTCAAATATAGTTCAGCATATGCTGTTTTCCTTTCATCCACCTTTCAGTGCAGGCTTTTGTGTAATGTCAAATTAGTTGTTGGATTGTCACTCCGGTGCTGTGTGTTGTTGGAGTATCTCCTGACAAACTCCTTGATTTATAACAACAAATGTTGCTGTGAACTTCTCAAAGGGGAATTTCTGAACTCTGTTTTCTTGATGGTATTTGGAGTCTCGCTCAAACATTTCTCTGAAAGACAGAAGATCCCCAAATAGATCTTTACCTGTTACATGGCTTTGAGATGCCACAGCCAAAGCATTTCTTCATGTTGTACACACAGTTGGTCTATGACAAAACTTTTGAAACCAGATCTCAAGATTACAAATGTCACTTTTTTCACACTTCCATCTTTTTATTTCACATTCTTCTACTCCTCTGAAGTCATGTCTAAAAGGTTACAGAAACAGCTTTGTTTTATCTTCTTTATAATTGAGCAATTATTTAATTGGATATGTATATCTTTATTTTTAGAATATACAGTCAGTTGCTGGACTTAACTCCAGCTAAATCCCAGCGGTATGAAAACATTCTGACGCCATGCTGGTTCTTCTCCCAGCAGCTCCAGCAGAGCTGTATTTGCAGGAAAAGCTTCCAGATGAGGTGGTGCTGAAGATCTTCTCATACCTGCTGGAGCAGGACTTGTGCCGTGCAGCATGTGTGTGCAAGCGCTTCAGCGAGCTGGCCAACGACCCCATCCTCTGGTGAGACATGTGGTGTTGAGTTGCACATCATTGTCCGTCATATCGACGTTAAATAGATTTATTTGAAGTGCATAAAATCTATCAGAGATGATGATTTAATTGGGAAACTAAATGTATACATATGTTCTCACTCAGGTTTCTAAATAAAAAGAGGAAGTTGTTTAGTGTTAATGTGTCTTCATATTCCAGGAAAAGATTGTACATGGAAGTCTTTGAATACACACGACCCATGATGCATCCTGAGGCAGGGAAGTTCTACCAGATAAACCCAGAAGAATACGAGCAGCCAAACCCCTGGAAAGAGAGTTTTCAGCAACTGGTATGGAATTGTCAGACACTTCCAATGACCTCATTTTGTTCCATACCACAGATATGAGAAATTCCGGTTATTGAGCTTAATGAGGAAATCCATTCATTAAATCCATTCTCATTCTGTCAGGTTGTTGCAGGTTAAGGGAATTAAACTATGAGGAACAAATTGCTTTTATGTGGTACCAGTGATTAATATTAAACAAACAAGTCATTGCGTTGCTGTGCAGTTCTCTTGTGTACACATAGCAAATGTCATGTGAAAGGGCAAACACCAAAGGCAAAAACATGACATTCAGTCACTGAAGTGTCGAAGAGAAAGCAATATTGCACTTCTTTTCAATACACTGACCCTTAGGGGTGTCCCCCTCCCAACATACCATCTGAGGCATTTCGCATAATAAGCCTCTTTTTAATGTAATTTTGGTGTCATTTGCTAAGTGTAAATAAATCATCCTCATGAAGTAAATAATCTTGATTGTCATTTCATTCTTGCAGTATAAAGGGGCCCATGTAAAGCCCGGCTTTGCCGAACACTTCTACAGTAATCCTGCCAGATACAAAGGGAGAGATAACATGTTTGTAAGTCTGACTTACTCTCTTATTCTCTTTGTCATGATATGAAAACCGGTCATTCACCCAACTTGTGCTTTTTCCAGTATTATGACACCATTGAGGACGCTCTCGGAGGGGGACAGGAGCCTCACTTTGACGGCTTGATATTTGTCCACTCTGGAATTTATACAGACGAATGGATCTATATTGAGTCACCTATCACAATGATCGGAGCTGGTATGCTTGTTTTTTAAGATTTACAAGTCTAATTTTGCACTTGTTTAGAATCTAACTGAACCGTTGTGGTTGTCCTGTAGCTCCTGGAAAAGTGGCAGAGAAAGTCATCATTGAGAACACCAGAGACTCTACATTTGTATTTATGGAAGGCTCAGAGGATGCCTATGTTGGATACATGACCATACGGGTGAGAAGCCCTCTTTTTCTTTTTTGAGTGACTTGGTAGACCTCCATTCTTTTGGTAAGTGTTTTCACAGTTGCTTATCGTTTATTTCTGCTGCAGTTCAATCCCGATGATAAATCCGCCCAGCACCACAATGCACATCACTGCTTGGAGATTACAGTCAACTGCAGCCCCATCATCGATCACTGCATCATACGCAGCACCTGTACAGGTAAATCTGCTGCCTCTCAGGCTTCTATAACGAAAGCAAGGTTAGAAGATATTCCAAAGGATGACAAAGTTGTGCTGTTCATACAGTAGTCATGGAAATGAGATCTATTGAGACCAGTTGGAAGAAAAGGCTAGTCTCTGTTAGCGGAGACAAAGCAAACCAAAGAAAAAAATAACTTGACCTCAGGAGACTTTCTTTTAAAATGATTTCTGTCATGATATAACGGGGACTGTTTGTTTGCTCAGACGTGATGTTTTGTGTTTGCTTTTGCTTGTTTCAGTGGGGTCGGCCGTCTGTGTGAGCGGACAGGGTGCGTGTCCCACGATCAAGCACTGCAACATCAGTGACTGTGAAAATGTTGGTCTCTACATCACAGACCATGCACAGGTAATATACACCTCTCATTCATTTAGGTTACACTTACAAGTCAAATGTGGGACTTGATTTTTTTCTGTAAGGTGTGCTCAACTGACACTTTTCTTATTTTCAGGGGATATATGAAGACAATGAGATCTCAAACAACGCCCTGGCTGGGATCTGGGTGAAGAACCATGGCAACCCAATCATCAGACGGAACCACATCCACCATGGCAGAGATGTAGGGGTCTTCACATTTGACCACGGCATGGTAAGATGTCGCTCCCTGGTGTGTGTCATTACAGTTCTGTCGTGTGATAGAGTGTTAGTTTGGGCATACACACGTTTATGGAGGGGCTCAAACCTTTCATTTAGATAGAAACACACAATGTGTTTGGTTAGTTTATTATTTTTTGCACGTTGAATATAATTATGGTAATTACCAGGTGCTAAATGCACTTTTTTGGCGGGGATTTCTATTTGCGTCCTGTGAATAACACAGTAGTGTAATTTCTCTCTGTCCATTTCTAGGGTTACTTTGAGAGCTGCAACATCCATAGGAACCGCATAGCTGGCTTTGAGGTGAAAGCATATGCCAATCCAACCGTGGTGCGCTGTGAGATCCACCACGGTCAGACCGGGGGCATCTATGTACACGAGAAGGGGCGTGGGCAGTTCATCGAAAACAAGATCTATGCAAATAACTTTGCAGGAGTGTGGATTACCTCGAACAGCGACCCCACAATAAGGTCAGTGTCACTTGGGTTTGAAAATCAGTTCAACATGTCAGTTCCAGCCTGTCTTCAAATAGATCATTTTTGTCCAAATAACAGGGGAAATGCCATATTTAATGGCAACCAGGGTGGCGTTTATATATTTGGCGATGGCAGAGGCCTCATCGAGGGGAACGACATCTATGGTAATGCCCTGGCAGGAATCCAGATCAGGACAAACAGCTGCCCTATCGTCAGGCACAACAAGATCCACGATGGTCAACACGGTGGCATATATGTGGTAAATACCTTTATTTGTTGGATACCTTCATGGTCTTATTTCTAAAGAGAGTAGTGATGGATCGAGGGTTTGTGTTATGCAGCATGAAAAGGGACAAGGAGTCATAGAGGAGAATGAAGTGTACAGCAATACACTGGCAGGAGTGTGGGTGACGACGGGCAGCACGCCAGTTCTGAGGAGGAACCGGATACACAGCGGGAAGCAGGTAGGACTATCAGCAAGTTACTTTAAGGGTGGGAAGTGGATGTAAAGACTATGATGTGATTCACTGAAAGTCCTTGATGTGACAAGAAGAGTAAATGTTAGTTTATAAATGGGGGCTGCTGTGTTTTCATGTAAACAGGTTGGAGTCTACTTTTATGACAATGGTCATGGTGTGCTGGAGGACAATGATATCTACAATCACATGTACTCTGGAGTTCAGATAAGGTTTGTGTGGAAAGAAAGATGTAAAACTCAAAACTTCCCATCAAATTTAGCTCAAGTTTCATGTCCTGATATAGAGATGGGTTTGAAAATGTGCATTTTGCTTATTGAGGCAGTGGCTCACTCATCCCACATGGCTGTGCTTTCTTTGTGTTTTTTTTACAGGACTGGCAGCAATCCTAAAATCAGACGGAATAAGATCTGGGGAGGGCAGAATGGAGGCATTTTGGTTTACAACTCAGGTGAAAAGCAGAGATGGTTTCTGTTTTCCTTTACTAATGAAAGAAGGACCATCAGTTAATGGTTTCTGACCCAAGGCAGCTTCTTTAGCACTGGTTGGCTCAACTCAAGTTTGATTTGCAGGCTTAGGATTCATCGAGGACAATGAGATCTTCGACAATGCAATGGCAGGAGTGTGGATAAAGACGGACAGCAACCCCACTTTGCGGAGAAACAAGATCCACGACGGGAGAGACGGTGGAATCTGTATATTCAACGGAGGGAGAGGTAGCTTGTCATTGTCTTTCACACCTAAATTTCACACGAAAATACACAAACTGTTTTTCTTTTTTCTATGGGACTGATGTTTACAACTGATGAATTTGTTATTCTTCTCAAATCGGTCATTAAAAAAAAAAATGCTTTTTTTCGTCAGGTTTGCTCGAGGAGAACGACATCTTCCGAAATGCCCAGGCAGGTGTTCTCATCAGCACCAACAGTCACCCGGTGCTGAGGAAAAACCGGATATTCGATGGATTCGCTGCAGGTGCGTAACTCCTGCACACAGGCTGGCATTGGTTATTTGTTGTTGCCCTGTTACAGACGTCTTACTTCATTGCAAACACGCCTTTGAGACAGAGAGAAAAAGTAGCTTTTTTTTATTTTAAACTAGGTATTGAGATCACAAACCATGCCACAGCGACCCTTGAAGGCAATCAGATCTTCAACAATCGTTTTGGTGGATTGTTTCTTGCATCTGGTGTCAATGTTACAATGAAAGGTACCCTCATGGTCAAAGACACTGCAACACGTTCTTCACATGTCCATCACCGTCTGACAACAGACAGATAATCCCAACTCTGTTGGCTTTGTCAATTAATTCCTGCAGATAATAAAATATTGAACAATCAAGATGCCATTGAAAAGGCTGTGAGCAGAGGTCAGTGCCTGTACAAAATTTCAAGTTACACCAGCTACCCAATGCACGATTTTTACAGGTAAATCGAGTTTAGAGTCACGGTGTGCTGAATACATCCAGTTGTTGAACTCTGTCCGCAGATGTTGACAAATTTGGTTCCTCGTAGGTGTCACACCTGTAACACAACAGACCGCAACGCCATTTGTGTGAACTGCATCAAAAAGTGTCACCAAGGGCACGACGTGGAGTTCATCAGACACGACAGGTCGGCATTCTGTCCGCATGCTGTGCAGTGATACTAAATGTACTTTTGTGTGTGTGTGTTTTAAAGTAATTTAACTGAACAGAATTGTTTCCGTGTACACCTCCAGATTCTTCTGTGACTGTGGTGCGGGGACGCTTTCAAATCCATGCACGTTAGCTGGAGAGCCGACACACGACACAGACACTCTATATGACTCTGCTCCCCCTATAGAGTCCAATACCCTGCAGCACAACTGAGCTCCAGATGTGAGCTCCCTTCGGCAGTGATGGACATGAATTAAGACGTGTTGTGCTGTGGAGGAGAAAATCCCAACAAAAAAAGAGCATATACAGCAACTAAAAAAAAGAAAAAAAGACCAGGGACGTGAATATGCTTAAAAAAAAGTCTTGATAATGGATGCCTCGCTTTCTTTTTTCCCTTTCAATTGAGAAACATAAAGATGACCTCAGTGGAACGTAGAAGGAGAGCAGCTGACTCAGGGTTTGTGGGCGTGTTGAACTGGTTGCCTTTGACACCAGTGAGAGGGACAAAACTACCGAGGCTCATCTTCTTTAAAGAAGCGCAAGAACAAGACTGTAGCCGTGTACAGATTCATCGCGTGGGCAGACGTCAGAAGAGGCGACTGTCCCCACGTCAAAGCCCAAATACAACAATGCTTCCACCACTGGGCGGCCAACGAGCTCGTATATGTACGAGAAAAACGACCTAGCACTTCAGCTTTTTCCCCCTCAAAACTGTTGAGATTTGATTTTAATGCTTTTTGTGTAGTTTTGTATTTTCATGCAAAAATCTTACTGTACTTGAATGTCTTTATTTTATTAAATGTTACTTTTTTTTTTGTTATTCCCCAGAATTGCTGTAATTATACTCATGTCGCAGTATCTAACTTCTTTCTGTGAAAGAGATCAGAGAAAAGAGAGGAAAACACTAAAACATGTTCTCCAGCAACATTGACTCATTTACATTTGCAATACTGAAGTGTGCTTTCACGGGACCTGTGCCACCGGTATGTGACATCTCAGTCTGCCTCACAGAATCTATGCATACTGTTAATTTCCTGCCACCTTTCAACTCACAGGGACATCGCAGAAGAAACGTGTAGGGTGAAAACTTTTCCTTTGACATGCCTGTTTTTCCTACAACCAAATTCTTGGAAAAAGTCAACAGAATGATCTTCATACCCGTGACCCTGAGCTGTAACTGTGTGGTCGTCCTGCAGGCTGCCTCAGACCATTTCCGCTCACATGATGAAAACAGAAGTCTCGTGAAAGCATAGTTCCCTTTAAATGGCTGTTTGTCGATGTTGATGGAGAACTGAACAGCTTTTACTCTACTGAAGCTGAGACAAGTATCTATATACAGCGCTTTATGGTTTCATTGCCCCCCCTCCTCTTTATCCATTCATGTGTACTGGTGATTGTGGATTCTCATACAGACTGAAATGTATGCATGTATCATAACATCTAGACTTAATATATTGTGAAGTATTCAATAACCGTTGTGTAGGCGATAGTGTGAATTAAAAGGGTTTAATTTCCTAGATGAAACATTGTCATTTTTTAAAAATAAACTTTATTAGACCGTTACAGTAGTGTTTTCTTCAGAGTGCTGAGGGAGGGACATCAGCAGCTCATGAACTACAGGCTGTTGAGCAGCTGGATGAGAGAGGCCAGATGTGTGCTGTCCAGTGTAGCATCTTCAGCAAACTGACACAGCTTCCTAAAAGAGAAAATTAAAAAACAGATGAAGTTTTTACACCCCTTTACTGTAGACACACTGCAGTAACACAGACTAACGTACTTGAATAGCCGGAGGCCGACTGTGCTCCTCTCAAACTCTCTGGCCTTCCTGTGTCCGGACTGGATGACCTCCTCTGGTAGGCTGGCCAGTCGCGCGGCGTTGAAACCGTAGCTCTTTGGGCAAGCACCAGTTATGAACTTGTAGAGGAATGTGATCGTCTCTTGACTGGGATCCTCGCACTCGTTCTCCACCATGCACGCCTGAAAGGGGCAGACATGATGCACAGAGGAGATAAACTGTCCGCCAAATATCAGAGCAACAGGCGAGAACAAGAGTGGAATCAGCTGCGCTCCAAAAGAAGAAACTGCTGTCGATGGGCTGATATGGTGGAACAAACGGGGCGCTCGAAGCTGGAGGGTTCCACAACAGTGTCTGCAACATTTAAGTGGAGTAGCAGGAACTCACGAGTGGCAGGAAGCTGCAGCCTGTGGCTGGAGGAGCCCCCACTGCTGGCACAGGGGAAGCAGCTGTGCTGTGGTCTGCACCAGGCCACTAGCTGCTACACTCACTCTCAGACTAATGTTTTCAGAGTGCTTTCACTTCAAAAACTCTGAAATCTTTTCCTGTGTATAGCAATGATAGGGGTCACTTTCAGAAGCATCAGACATGCGATGTCCCTCTGATAAAGCCGGTCAGCGCTCACAGCTAGCGTGTGCCCGTGCCTACCATGTGGCCCAGCCGCACGGCGGGGTTGCTGGCGTAGTCCTCCACCAGGGAGTGGTAATGTGTGGAGAACAGAGTGCGGCAGCAGATCTTCTCGGCCAGCTCCTTCACCACGGCGCTGGCGATGGCTGTGCCGTCGTATGTGGCCGTGCCCCTTCCTGCAACGTGATTCCATCATGACAACACGGCACAGACAGCAGCTCTGACGGGGCTGCACACAATTACTCAGGCTAGGATGAATGAAGCATTCAAAGAGCACGGGATCACCTAATTCATCCAGGAGCACGAGGGAGTGTTTGGTGGCGTGGTGCAGGATGGTGGCGGTCTCACTCAGCTCCACAAAGAAGGTGCTCTCTCCTGCAGAACAACTTTGATGAGTCACCCCAGTTCCCCAACAGCGGCCCGCGCTGATCCCCGTCCCTCGTCTGGCGGAGGACGCTTGGCGCCTTACCCGCCATGATTCGGTCAGAGGCCCCCAGCCTGGTGAAGACTCTGTCGACTGGTGTAAAACGGAGGCTCTCGGCTGGAACGTAGCACCCCAGCTGTGCCAGGATGACCACAAGTCCACACTGTGGACAGAATGCCAACCCAGGGTTCCAGATATATCACAAACACCATTTCCATTGAGACAACAAAAAAAAGAGAAGAAGAAGAAAGAGGCAAATTGTTAATGCCCCACCTGTCTCATAAGAGTAGACTTGCCCCCCATGTTTGGCCCTGTGACAAGAACACAGGAGGCGGAGCCTTCTCCCTCACTGCTGTCCCCGCTCCCCGGGCAGCCGACGAACACGTCATTGGGAATAAAGTCATCGCCAAAAAAGGTCTTGGTGACACAGGGGTGACGGGATCCTGTAAGTTCAATGAAGGGCACGGCCTGGGGGTCATCCTCAGGGAGTAGCAACTGCGGCCGGGCCATGACGCCGTCTCCTCCCTGGCTGTAGCGCGCCAACGCCAGCAGCACATCTGGACGGGGAAAAGAAAGAAAAAAAACAAGTTCTGTGCTGTACATTTTACCGGTCAGCATTTAGGAACTGAATATTTAAATGTAACCAATGTAAACTGAGAAAAGCTCTTTGAAAAAGGAAGTTACCCAGCACTGCCATGCACTCCACAGCAGTCTTCCAGTCTCTGTAGTTCTTGTCAAAGTTGTAGAAGAGCCTCCTCATGCAGTCCTTCAGGGCAGCGTCTCTCTTCTCCTCCAGTCCCTGCAGCTCTGAGAACAGCCGCTCCGTCTCTCTGGTCACGTAGCGCTTCCAGCCCTTCTTTGTGGACTTCACTTCGTACTCCTCCGGGATGTTCCTCTCCGAGAGGCTGTCAGGAACCTCCATCTGAAAGCGGTTCCGCCCGGTTCCCCAGTAGGACATGCTTTTGCAGCCCAGTCTCTTCTTCTGTCTCTCCAGGTAGTCCTGCAGCTCTCGCTCGCAGCTCTTGATTCCCGTCAGCGCCTGGTCGTATTCGGGGTCAAAGCCGGCTTTCGGGGTGATGACACCAGTGGTCCGGGCTTTCTGGTGGTCGAAAGCCGTCTCCCAGCGCTTGAGCTCGGCAGAGAGGTCGGGAAAGAGGCCGTCCTTTTCCGTCTTCAGACTGACCACCTGCAGAAGCAATGGGGAATTCAAATGGCCTGAAACCGGGGCAAAGGCAGAAATAATCTCCTGCATGGTTTTAAAGCCTTCTAGAGCAGAGAGGAAGTCTGCGATCTTGCGCTTGCTGTAGGTGACCTCTTCGTACAGAACCGCTCTGCTGTCTGGGTGCTCCGGCCCCTTCAGAGGAGTGCCCAGACCGTGGATCTTGCTCAGGAGACGCTCCAGGTCCGGGAGCTTCTTCAGCAGGTCGGAGGCCTCGGTGGCCTGAGCCTGAGCTCCCATCAGGTCATCCACAGCGTCCAGCCGGTCCCTGATGGAGGCGGGGTTACACAGGGGAGCACAGAGCCACTGCTTCAGCAGCCGCTTACCAAAGGGGGTGGAGCACGTGTCCAAACGCTCCAACAGTGTGCCCACACTCCCCCCCGATCCGTTCTGAAAGATTTCCAAGTTTGTCAAAGTCACTCCGTCCAGGACCATCCGCTGGCGAGTCTGTGCGAAGAAACTGGCAGGTCCGGCCGCTTTCTCCAACTCAACATCAACCGGGACATACTCCTCAAAGTTGGCCATGGACAGCAGCTCTTTGTCCACCAGACATTTCTTCAGGTAGAACACGCATCCACCAAAGGCAGACAGCGCCAGCTCGTAGCCTTCTTTCGGGGTTAGGCACAGCGAGTCACTCTCGGAGGTCATTTTTTTGATGAGAGGGGGAAGAAAACTGTTCCCCGTCCCCTGCCCCTCTCCAGCAGTCTCCTTGAAATAGTCCTCCTCCGAGAGGGTTTTGAGAGTCTTCTGAGCGTCCCAGAACTGAGTTCCTGCATTGAGTCCCTCCTGCAGAGCAGACGCCAGAGACGCCTTCAGTATTTTGCGAGTTTCCACCGATGGGTTCCCCTTTTCAAACAGCACCTCGGCGGGGGAAAAGTGAGCGATGAGAGTGCGCAGGCGTGAGCAGTGACGGTCGTCTGGGAACTGGCCGATGTGGAAATAACCCACCGAGGTGTCCACAAAGCAGACGCCGTACGTGCGATGCCGGCCGGAGCTCTCCTCGTCTGCTTTTTCTTTCAAACTAAGGAGGAACTTGCTTTGGCTCTCAGAGGGAGCGCCGTCCAGCACGCTGTAGGTCTGTGTGCCACGAGTGATAATCCGGCACACCTCCCTTCTCACAACACGGTCAAACTTAGTGGGCTTGGCCATGGTCTTGCAACGCGCCTCCATCATTTCTGGGGTCTCCGTCTGCTCCACGCGAGCCACCTTGTAGCCCTTCTGGACCAATACGTCGGAGAACCGCGCAAACCCGATCTCTGGGAAACCGGAGTGAGCCCAGGCCCCCTTCATAAAGGTCAGCCCCATCTCGTTGACTCCTACCACGGCGTCCATGTGGTACAGCTCGTAAAACTTTCCCACCTTGTAGAAAATCACCGTGTCAAACATCCCAGATTTGATCTGCCACCATCGACGCATTCCAGGAGTGTTTCTGTTCAGGAAGTCTTCGGGAACGTACAGGGTGGTGGGATCATAGTCGTCCTCCGACTGGCGCCGCCTTTTGCTATCTTTCCTCCTGCCTTCCTGCAGCCACTCCAGCTTCTCGTGGTCCCACACTGTTCCACCTCCAGCGGGACCCGCTCCGTTGGCCTGACTCTCAAAGCTGTCAGGAGCAGAGAAGGCCGACAGGCGCGACTTAGTGTCGGTTGTGATGGCCGGCGCCGCCCGTTTAGGAGTGGCCAGCGGGGTGGAGGGTGGCTTTGGTTTTGTGCTGACAGACTTCTCAGAGGGGCGTTTGCGTTTCACAGGCTTGATGGGGCTCTCTACCTCCGACTCCTGCATGCTCTCTTCCTGCTCTTCACTACTCACGGTCCCCTCCTCCTCCTCATCTTCGCTGCTAGAAGCAGCATGCTCCGGTTTGAACTCCTCATCCGACTCGTCGCTGTCAGAGGCCACAACAATGCGACGACGCTTTGGTTTGCTCCCTGTGTCCGCAGGCAGACAGGACGAGCGCTGGCTCCTTTTGGAAGGCTTTACTTCCTGTTTTTTTTTGTTGTCCTCATCTCCAACCTCTTCATCACTACTTGACTTTTCAAGCTGAAATATAGTTTAAAAAGAAAAAATTAATTCACTTGAAATGTAATACATTGTTATGCATGTAATAAATAGGAAAACACATTTTTAAAACTAAATTATTCTTGACTGTTAAAAAAAAGAGATATAAAAGAGAAAAATCTATACATTGTATATGATATGGTCTACTTTTATAGTTGCTGATCTGTGTCCCTACATCTAAAAATGATCATTACCTCCATTTCCTCCTCTTCATCCTCATCATCGTCTTCCTCATCAGACGGATCCATGCACAGAGGCATCTTTAATCTTTTTTCAGGACTGTCAAACATAACTTTATCGGCGAGGTCTATGGCCCGGCGGATCACGGGTTTGCTGCTGAAGAACACCCCTCCAGGTTTCACATCACTGCTGTCAGAGCCTGCAGATCGTACAGGGGCCACACAGACAGGCCTGCTGTCAGAAAACTACCTCCAACACAGTCACGATTCAAAGCATTTCCATGATCATTACTAGGAGCGGGTGGCCCACCTTGGTACTCTCTGACATATTTGTTGTTAACCCATCCTCGGGTAGGAGGGTCATCAAAGAAATGAACGTGGATGCGCTGGTCCCGGCCACGCCCCCTCATCTGCTGGCCAGTCAGGGGTTGGGGCACCACCATGCATGGCCACCAGGGGTGCCCTTCCAGTTTTGCCCACACAAGGGCACCAGCACTGAACAAACATGTTGAGCTGCTGAGGGTAAAAACAAAAAAAATAAAACAGTAAAATGAGATTTAATTCTATCTTAAATTAAGCTGTGGCAAACAATGACTTTTAGCATGAATTGTTTAACTGATTATTTTCTTCCCTATCCCTCAGCTCAAAGCGAAGCTCAAGTTCTGTCATCTTTTCAGTAATTTAAACACAGCTCGCTTGGCCATCATTTTCAGACAAGTCTGTTTATTAACACTGTAGCGTGGTATGCTGCGTTCAGTGGCATGGTTAACCATCAGATTTTACCAACTGCAGGAGCTTAACTGCATGGTGTAGCACCCTGAAATGCACGAGCTCTACAGGATAAGCACGACCAGTGTCACATAAGGAAAAACTAACCTAAACACCTTTACCCCAATTGCATTTGAGTATAAGAGGGCTTGTCTGTATATTTTTTCAAATGCCGTATTTCAGAAGTGACTTAAGACTTCCTCAGGCTATGCTAACCGGACGGGTAAAGCAAACGTACACGGCTCCCAAAACGAACCTGTTGTCAGCCTTCGGGGCCTTATCGCCAAACAGCTTCTTGAGTCCCCCGCTGGCAGTCTTTGACCCACTTTTCTTTTTAACACTGCTGGTCTTGGTCTGCTGCAGCTGTGTTTGCTTAGCTTCCTCTTTCGGAGACGAGTTGGACTTCTGAACGGAGGAGGGCAGGTCTGCCTCCGCCGGAGTGGAACTCAGCTTCGGCTTGGAAGCCGGCGGGGGAGACTTGGTGAAAAAATTGAAAAGCGAGCTTTGCTTCGCCATTCGTGCAGACTGAAGTACTGCTATTGCGCTGTTTAAACGATATTCCTCGAACAACTATTTCCCTTAATCTTTAGATACAACCTAGCATCTAGCCTGGATGAGCCTCGACAGCGCGAGACAGCGGAGTTCGCGGGAAGCACGCTCTCCGGCTGTAATGGGCGTGGTTACCAGCCTTATCCAATCACACACGACTACACTCTGAGGTGCAATCCACATGATCAACACAGCTTTGCTTGTTGGCCATGCAATTGGCGCCAAGTTTTTAGTCACAATTCTTTTTTTCCTTGTAAACTTTATTTCTGAAGAGCCTCGCACAAGCTGTACGCCAGGAGCTATCGGTGAAAGTTCCAAGTCGTCTTCTGCAAAATCCCCCGAGAGAAGTGCAGACCGACAAAAGAATATTCTTAAAGAAAAACGTCCTGCAAAATAAACACACACCATATTCTTCTTTTTATACATTGCTTTTCAATTTGAACGTTAGGTTGCTCCTCCTTTTTTCACAGAAAAAAGTTTTTTCCTGTTTTCTGATGGGTAAAAAGATGCAAAAAACACTTTATTTGTCACTTCTCCACATAAAACCGTGGAAAGAAATTATCTTAGAAATAATCTATAGAGCTAGAATGTTGTCTTAGGCCTCACGAAATGAATCTGTGCTCAGTTCTTTGCACATACTTTCCCAAAATTGTACCTGAGTTGCTACTCATACATAGTGTGCATGGTGAAGAAAGCTGAAAGCTGGATCCCCTAAGGTGGAAGATCTAATGCTTTTGTTATGTTGCCGATGTGACTGTTGTTTTCTCAGAGAGAAGAGGCATTGCAAATCACTTGCAAATCGACTCACTCTGAATGATCACCTTTACCGTGTGTTAAGCTTTTCCCTCATGATTTTACTGGTCTCTTCAGCCACAAGAGACCAGTGCTCCTCACCCATTAACCTACCCAAGCGTTCAGGAGAAACAGTCAATAAAGCAAATGAATGCACGCTGTGTCAGTGCTGATACAGTTCAACAGCTCAAAATATTCTTGTTTTCCATGCCTTGTAAGTTGGCTCAATACTGGCCACCCATGACCAACAGAGGGCATCAGAATACCAGAAAGCTTCAGGAGAGTTAGGCATCACAGCTACACAGTCAAGTATGCAGTTTTTGGTGATGCTAAGGTGATGTGCAATTCATGAACCATGAATCTGGGGTGGTAAAACATTAATCTGGGGCGGTAAGTTTTTTCAGCATCACATAGCACAAAATCTATGCTTCAGTCTCTCTTTTGACTCAGTAATTTACAGAGACTGTTTTTTGTTATGTAACATGTTTTGCTGCTTCACCATGACCAAAATAAGAATTGACCTATTAAAACTATTGTGGAAATGGTATGTATTCCTTGAAATTCTACTGTGTAAGCAGAAATCCTACACTGAAAACCATTAAACAATAGACAGTAGACCTGCCACTGCAGAGTCCACATGACCAAGAATACAATGTCCAAAATGCCTAGCTTTGTATATTTGTGTAATAGTTAAAAGTGTAAATAAACAAGGCAATAACAACCAGAAAACAAGGGTGGCCTTGAACATATTAAACAACTAAACATCCACCCACGATTGACTTTTTGGCACATGGTGTGTGGGTGGTAGATAGCATATAATTAAGAGGGAGCCTTAAAAAGCGGTTGGTATGATTCAGTCAAGTGAGACCTTACCATTACTACTCCATTAGTAAATAATACCTACACTGCTACGACAGATCAAAAAGGCAGTCATTAGGCAGATGTAGATCATCAGATTAAATGTTCATCAGCAATAAAATAGAAAACACCAATTAACAGACTGACTTTTACAACAATTAATGCTATTAGTTGTGTTTAAAATGCTAGATGATTAAAGATTACTGCCAGCTCAGGTCGGGGGGAGAGCGGCTGCCCACCAATGGGCGGGTTGGTGGTTCCATCCTACAGTATATGCTGAGGTGTCTTTGATGCCGGCAATCTATCCTCAAAAGGGGAAAAATTATTTTTTTTCTGGATAGCAATACAGTGTTTGTTTCCTGTTTGTGGCAGTCCCAAGCCAGGACTAATGTGGGAGTTGCTGGAAGGGCTCCTGTCAAACTTACCATGACACGCTGAGGCGACCCCTGACGGAAAAAGCCACAAGGCAACTACAACTGTCAGCCTAGGTGGAGGAAATGCCCCATCGCTATGGGAAGGAGCTGTCTGCTTTTTGAGCTGCTCATCCCCTGTAGCCAGCAAAGGCCTATTTTAAAAAATGACTTTGTGATTTACCCCTTTCCAAAAAAGGCAGGAGATCTCTAATAGCAATAGTGACTACAAAATATTTCGGTGTCACTGTGAGATTAAGAGACACTGAAAAAGTATCTGCCCAGGCATGCAACTGTTTACCTTCTATGGCACACTTAAAAAGTTCTAATATGTTACTCGCTTGAGTAAAATGTCATTAATTACAGTTAATGACTGGATTTGGTTCCTAATTATTTAAACAAATGCAAACAGATGTTATTTGTGTTCTCACAAATCCGCTCTAGGTTGTTGCTCATTAGGTTTGCGCAAGGTTTTTGTTTAAGATTGTTTTGCATTTTTCAACTTGCCTCAATGGATTATTTCTGGGACCCATGTTTAATGGAAATGAGTGACAACTTAGATATTTCTTTTCTCTTTACAACTGAACAAAAAGGGGGAATACTGTATGCAGATCATAAAACGGTGTAATTATAATGAATGCAGTGAAGCGGTGAGCCGAGTTTATTTCTGTTAAACAAAGATTGACTTAATCTGAATGGAGTGAAATGTATAGATGTAAAACAAGGGTAATGAAAAAAAGCAACAAAAAAAAAACACAAACAAGACTGTGAGTCATTAAATCCATCCTTGTTTTAGCCTGCTGTTTTTTTTTCTTTTTCTGTGCTCTTGCAGCTTCTGCTCTGTCCTCAGCAGCTGTTTGCCCTGCGGGCACATTGACTGGACAGATGCAACAAGAACAGCAATGGTTGACACGGCCAGTGTCTGTGGTCAGTGTTAAACTGGGTTTTATAATGTCAACCGCCTCCTGACTTCTCATCCATGTGACACACAGAGACCACCGTCCACCAGACTTTCAGACTCATAAAGTGCTCATATTTAAGAACGAGTCTTTCTGCCTGAGAGTGCCGTTTTGTGGGCATGCTCGTCTGAGCAGTGTTTTATGAAGTCTAATGGGCAAGAATTCTAAGGAGCAGGCTCGGGAAAACATTACATCTTCTGCCCGCTGTGATGTTGCCATCACACTGTCTTAAAGCTGCTCCAGGCAAAATTTATGGGAAAAAATACACCCACCTCATCTGCATAAATCATGCACACAGGCTGCAAAACAAATCATTGTTCTATCTTATTGAGAGCTGCAGATTAAAAGTGCTGAAAATGATACGTGTGTATGCTTAAGGTGTCAAGTTGAATCTTCATGAGCACCAAAACATTCTCCCAGACAGCAGCAAGCAGGCAGGACTGCAGTGAAACACCAACGTGTAAAGTTGGAAAGTTGATCAAGTTCCTTCTCCACTTCACCAGGTGCAAGCCACACAGTGTGTCTGGATAAGACGTCCTTGACTTATTTTCTTTTTTATTCTGAATATCTTATGCTGCTGATTCAGTGGAGAATTCTGAGAGAAATTACGTCAAATGATAACCAGAATGTGCACATTTCTGCTGTGTTGCCGAACATCAGCTGAGTTCTGACTTTAGAGTGTAAAAATATTCTTATATTTGTCAGATTAGTGCAACTGAATTGTTTGACTCGCGTTCAATTCCACCAGTTCTTGTGGTCAGATGTAAGTAACCTCAAAACAGCATCATTGGTATTGTATCTATTTTAACCTGCAACATCTCTCCTTTTAATCAAGAAACCAAGAAAGTCTCTCTTTCCATCTCTTTTTTCCTTTATTTTCCTTTATTATCCCCTTTAAATAGCTACATCTCCACTGCCATACACCATAAGGCTACAGTATTCTTCTTTTTGTATTGATTTATCTACTTTTTCTGTCCTCTTGAGTATCTTAGTTCCTCTCTTACCACTTCCGAATGTTGCCGTTAGGGAGCAAGCTCCATGATGCTTTTGAAGGATAATGAGGAGTTCACAACAGGCTCTTGAAGAGATTAATTCCCAAAGCACTGCTGAGACCGTATAGGGAGATAACCAACATAGAACAAAACTTGGCCCGTCTCTCCTTCTTCCTTTCTCTTTTCTCCCTGACCTTTGCCTTAAAGGATGGCTACATAAAGATAGGCTGTGCTTTTGTTTTGTTGATCTTTGTTGATCTTTACACCTAGAGGACAGATTTAGTTAGTATGCGGTTTCGTTATTTCCTCCTACTAAAACAGAGACTAATTAAGGATTTTAAGGATTTTTGTCTTACAACTATGCTGGCCAGCTTTTTGCTCTATTCAATATATGCACCATTTGCCATAAATGTGTACAGTTCCTTTTCATATCAATTTCGCTGCCTCTGGGGAAGCAGAAGAGAGCACATTCACAGATAGCAGAGCGATTGTGCACTCAGCAGATTTAACACCAACTGCAGTATTTTCTTCACTACACGGAGGGAAATGAGGTAATTGTGGGTAAAGTAGGGAAGAGAGATAGAAGAAAGACAGGAGAGACCATCAGTGCATAATTCTACCTCCTCATATTTGCAGCATCAATTTTCATATGTAGATACATTTCTTTCTTTGTAAACAATGTTATTTCAAACTACCACACCAGTATGATGTTCAAGTATTAACCACAAGCTACAAAAAAAAGAAAACCTGCCATTATCATAATTTTTCACCGCTTCTAGAATGTCCGCTCGACTTGAGATGCACTCTGTTGTGCACACTGCGCACGGATTTGCAATTCAAAAGCTTTTAAACAGTTCCAATTTTAGAATCATTATTTCAAAGTGATGGAAATGTTGCTTTTCCTCTGGAAGCAGTAAAAACCACACCATGCATATGTTTCAGTATTAATGAGCTGT